CCATCTCCCGCTTCTGCAGAAGCCATGGTGACCATTGACAGCCATGTCGTCGTGAAATACATGAACGAGCCATTCGTCACCATCCCCCAGTACTTGATTGTGGACGGCTCCGCTGGCCAAAAGTACTTGAAGATGCGGGCCTCCAGTTTGCCCATAGTCCAGCTCTTAACCGGAGCCAAGAACCCAGCCAGGGCTTCGTTGACATTCTACCAACCCTTCCAAAAGTTGGTGGAGAAACGCAACGAGGCCATGGATCGCCATGCTGCGGGCGACGAGGACCAGGGCGACATGGCCGACTTGTTCGAAAACCATGATGAGGAAGGCCAGGGGAGGTCCAAGAGGCGCAGACTCCAGAACCTCCCAGAGACTGTGAACATTTACGTCGGGAACGCCATTGTTCCATGCCTGATCCCACAAGAAGGCAAGCGGCCCAAGGCTGCAGACTTGGCCGTGCCACTGGACTCCAACACTATCGCCGCCATCATCGACCACGTTCGTGCCAGTGCTCAAGACCTGGAAATGCACATGAAGCAGCCCAGGAAGAAGGCCAAGCAGAACCACTAGGCTTCCGACCACTGCAGCTGCGACCAACCGCTTGGGATTGAAAAAAGCGCCTCTGCGAGTAAGCCATACTATAGGAGGGATGATCTTGATCTGTCCACACTTCAAGTTTCTGCCATCAGTTGGGGCCCAGACTGCCAGTTTTGCCTCTGCCACGTTTGGCCTGCACTCCAAGCACCTCGCCATGGCTGGAGTTCCAGAGAAGGTGGTCCAAGAAGTGGAGGCCATGATGGGGTCGACAGCCCCAGTCAACTCCAAGGTTGACCAGATCGTCCAGCTTCTGAGGACCCATGGCCTTGCCCATGACCAAGTTTTGCTTCCAAGTCAAATCTTGGTTCATCCTGAGAATAGAGGACGGTCCATGGTCTCGTATTTCGACGTATGGTCCAAAGGAAGCCAAATGTGCAGTGTGGGCTTCCAGCCGAAGCTCCTGGACGGCCAGACCATCTGCACCCAAATGGCCACTGCCGAGACCAAGAGGCTTGCCCAAGTGCAAGCCAACCGCCAATTGGTGACGGAGGCCAAGGGCCACCTGGCACCAGTGAGTGGCCAGGAAGGCACCTGGCTCATGCATCCTTATTAATATTTTCAAGCTTCTTTGGTACATACCTTATAAACCCTATAAACAAAGTATAGATGTTTGGTTCCCTGCCGGACAGGATTCCTCTCCCTTGCAGGGAGCCACAGTGTGGCCTTCCTCCGGTGCCTGCAAGCTGGGATCCAGGGACCAGAGGGCTACCACTGCTCCATTGCCAAGTCGGACCCAGCATGGCGAGCTGTCGAGCAAGGATGGTGCTGGATCGTGCTGGCGGCCTCCATTGAGGAAGCCATCCCACAACTTCCCAACTTCATTCAGCATGCTGCCAACTCGTCCAACTCAATATCCAAAGCCATAAACGAGTTGGAGGTCGCACTCCATGTGGCCACTGCATTTGAAAAGGGCATGAGCCTTTCAGATGCCATCCAGCAGGCCAACCAAGGAGACGTGCGATGCCGCTCCAGCGTCCCCGCCATCGCCAAATTCGTCCAGAACTTCGGCGGCGGCAGCAAGGGGTTCCCACTCCTCCATTTCCTCGCCAGTTTCTCCAAGCAATTCAACGCCACACTGTTGGTGGGGACCGAACTGATGTCCACCCTGGTGTCGCTAGACTTCCATCAAGCGACATGCATCTTCCCGATGCTGCGGGTGGCTGCCTGGGCGACCATGTTGACAAGCCCCAAATCCCAAGACGGCTTCAGCCGCATACTCTCCACCAACGATCTCCAGAAGCTTAAGGCACCAGGCATGCTCGACCAAGTTACCCAAGCCGAAAGCATGCTCCAAGATGCCTGGAAAATCCAACAGGAAAATCTTGTGAGGCAGACCCACCATTCGGCCCACTTGACCAAATGCTTTGGTCGACTTGCAGTCAGAGTTTGTTTATTCCTGACGAACAAACAAAAGTCAGGCCGGGAAACCAAGCACTGGCCATCTCTGCAAGCCATCTTGAGTGCCTATACCAAGGAAATCCAAGATACCTCGACGGGAGATGCCAGCAGTGCGGACCATGGCAAAGCACAGACGGACATGAAGGTCACGGATGTCTTGGCGGCGAGCCACAAGACCATAGCCATGCTGCAAAACCATCATATGGAAATGGGCAAGTTGTTGCTTGGACCGGAACCTAGCAATTAATTGCGGAAGACAGAATATATACTTGCAAGAGTATACATTATATAGGCAGAGATTTCGATGCAGATGTATATGATGTGAAGTGCTAAGGTACACTTGCAAGGACCACGGTGCCAAGGTCTTCCAGCTGACTGACTTGACGGACGACCATGCCACCATGACTCACAAGCCACTCTTCCAGGACAAGGAAGAAGTCCATGTGCCCTTGCAGAAGTTGCCAACGTGGAAGGCCACCAAGGCCCTGATGCCCATGTTGTGCCCCCAGGAACTTGCCACGGAAGGAATGACAGCCAAGCTTCTCTTGGAGGAGCGGGCCAGGTCGGAGGTGCAGCTGGCTCTCCACAAAGCGGCGGAAAGGCACCATGTGGATGCCCAGACCATCGCTTTCGGCCAGAACCCGCAGGGGGTGTTTGCGGCCAAGGCCATTCGCAAAACCATTCGTTTGGTTCCACTGGGCCCGGTGAACAAAGCCAAGTCGACCGCCAAGGAAACGAAGCTTCTCATCGAGCACGGCGGCCACAGCTGGACCATTGGGCCATTCCGCCAGAATGTCCACTTCGAAGCAGACAGCCCATGCTGCTTGATTCCATATTTCTGGTGCAAGCCCACGAGCGAGCCATCCGAGGTCACCATGGTGCACTCCACGGTCGTCGAGTCTGGGATTACCATCCCCTGCTTGGAGAATCCAGCTCCGCTGGAGCAGTGCCAGCAGCTTTTGTTCCTGGCCGCCCATGCCGAGGCTTCCGAACCAGACCATGCCGAGGAGGGGCCATCAGAGGCCAACCCTAAAGCCAAAGCCAAAGCCAAGGTGAAGGCCCAGGCCAAGGCCAAAGAGCAGTCGGAGCCTCCGTCCAAGAAGGCCAAGAAGTGAAGAGCTTCTGCAGCCCCAAGGGAGCGGGCTCCACTTTTAAAGACCCAAAGACCATGGCGGGTTTTGAGACCAGCCGCCTGACTTTTGCTGGAGCAGAAATGTTATGTAAGGGCAACTCCCGAAAGGGCGGGGGTGCAGTTTTGCAAGCACGTGCCATTTAGCCCATGAATGGACAGCATGCATGACATGTCCGCTGTGAAGTAATTCTTGTTCGTCCATGCACAGCAGCTGTTTGCCAGAGAAGACCATAGACCGTCCAAACGAATGCATCATGGAGCTTGCTGCAACCTCCCCTGAGCCATGCCAAACTGCAGGGTGCCAGCGGTTTGCCAAGTTCGGCCGACCCCGCTGCTGCAGGAAATGCCGTGAACATGGCACCCACGGCTCCAGATGTCTTGGAAGACAGGACCACTATGCGGCCAAGCGGACCAGCAGCACCACCGGCATAACCGGCACTCCTCTCCGCTTGAACCCAAGCTGGCTGGTCATGTGGTTCGGCGCCAACCTACGGGTGCGGACCTTTCTCCTCCATGCCCACGAAACCATGGAGGAGTTCCAAGTGTCCATGGAGCCATCCACAGCATCGGAGTCCTGGAAAACCTGGCTTCGAGCCCAACTGGTGGCCGTGCATCCAGCCACCAATGGTGACCAAGGGTCCAATGCTGAGCTCGCCAAAATAATCAAAGAGCTTCTGCAGGAGCCATGAGCATGCCTGGACGGTGCGAAAACATGTGCTTGCAGGCAAATAGAGACATGTGTCTAGAAGCATCTGCCTAAATGCTGCTGGTCATGACACACGTGCAGCATGCCATTCTTTTCTGTCAACAAAGAA